CCTCTTCTCCCTCCTCTTCCTCCTGCTGGCCGGGTCCCCGGCCCCGCGCCCGGCGGGCGGGCAGCTGCGCTACGCGGTGCCGGAGGAGCTGGAGCACGGAGCCTTCGTGGCCAACCTGGGCGAGGACCTGGGGGGGACGTATCGACTCTGTCGGCTCGACGGTTCCGCATCGTGTCGCGGGCCGGGGCCAGGCAGCACCTGGAGGTGAACCTGGAGAACGGGATCCTCTTCGTGAACGAGCGCATCGACCGGGAGGAGGTGTGCGAGGCCGGGGGGACCTGCCTGCTCCACCTGCAGCTCCTTGTGGAGAGCCCGCTGGAGCTCTACCGTGTGGAGGTGGAGGTGCTGGACATCAACGACCACGCGCCCACCTTCCCCTGGCAAGAGTACGTGCTGGAGGTGGCCGAGTCCGCGGTGCTGGGTGCCCGCTTCCCTCTGGAGAGCGCTCAGGATCCCGACGTGGGCACCAACTCGGTGCACACCTACCGGCTCAGCCCCAACAGCTTCTTCTCCCTCGAGGTGCAGACACGCAGTGACTCCAGCAAGTTTGCAGAGCTGGTTCTGGAGCGCGCCCTGGACCGCGAGCAGCAGCGGGCGCACCGGGTGCTGCTCACCGCCCTGGACGGGGGTGTCCCCGCGCGCTCGGGGACAGCTCACATCCTTGTCACCGTGCTGGACGCCAACGACAACGTGCCGGCCTTCGACCAGCCCTCGTACGGCGTCAGCCTTCCTGAGGATGCCCCTCCCGGCACCCTGGTCATCCAGCTCAATGCCACCGACCTGGATGAAGGCCCCAACGGGGAGATCGAGTACTCCTTCAGCGGGCACGCGCCCCCGCGCGTCCGGGAGCTCTTCCACATAGAGCCCCGGAGTGGGCAGGTGCTGCTGAAGGGCTCTCTGGACTATGAGCGGGCAAGTCTCCACGAGCTCTACGTGCAAGCCAAGGACCGCGGGCCCTCGGCTGTGGCCGTGCACTGCCGGGTGCTTGTGCATCTCCTTGATGTGAATGACAACGCGCCGGAGGTGACCCTCACCTCTGTATCTACTCCTGTGCTGGAGGATGCCCCACCAGGCACTGTCATCGCTGTCATCAGTGTTCTGGACCGGGACTCTGGGGACAATGGGCGGGTGAGCTGCGAGGTCAGCCCTGATGTACCCTTTGAGCTCCACTCCTCCTTCCGCAACTACTACACGCTGGTGACCACGCAGGCACTGGACCGGGAGGCCGTGCCCGAGTACAACGTCAGCATCACAGCACGGGACATGGGCTCCCCTGCCCTGCTGACCCACAGCACCCTCACTGTGCCCGTGTCCGATGTCAACGACAATGCCCCGCGCTTCCTCCAGCCCTCCTACAGCGTCTACGTGATGGAGAACAACGCGCCAGGTGCCTCCATCTGCTCTGTCAGCGCCTCGGACCCCGACTGCCAACAAAACGCCTACCTGTCCTACTCCATCGCTGACGGGCACATCCATGGCATGCCCGTGGGCACCTACGTGTCCATCAACTCGGACAGCGGGCACATGTACGCCCTGCGCTCCCTCGATTACGAGCAGATCCGCAGCTTCCAGATCCAGGTGCAAGCACAGGACGCTGGTTTCCCCCCCCTCAGCGCCAATGTCACCGTCCACATCTTCGTGCTGGACCAGAACGACAACGCCCCGGTCATCGTTTCCCCCACGCCTCGCAACGGCTCCGTGGCCACCGAGCTGGTGCCGCGATCAGCCAGGCCTGGCTACCTCGTGGGCACGGTGTCGGCGGTGGATGCGGACGCGGGGCTGAACTCCCGCCTCTCCTACCAGCTCCTCCAGGCCACCGACTTCACCCTCTTCAGCGTGGGACCAGACACGGGGGAGCTGCGCACCCTCCGCTCCTTCCTGGAGCAGGACGCGACCCGGCAGCAGCTGGTGGTGCAGGTGCGGGATGGAGGGCAACCAGCCCTCTCTGCCTCTGTCTCCCTCCTGCTTTCCGTGGTGGAGACCATGCCTCAGACTCTCTCTGACTTCAGCGAGTTCAGCCTCCCCCCAGAGGCCTCTTCATCCTCCCCACTCACCCTCTACCTCCTTGTCTCCCTGGGCTCCATCTCCTTCACCTTCCTCCTCGCCATCCTCATCCTCACAGCCATTCGGTGCCGCGGAGCGCGGCGCTCCCGCCAGGAGGACGGCTGCTCAGCGCCGCGCTGCCACTGCTGCCCCGGCCCCAGACCCTCCTCTGACGGCCTGAAGACGTCCAACCTGACAGCGCAGCCCCCTGCGGGCACCGCGGCTGCCACCTGCCTCGACGTGCCAGGGGGTGGCCCCCCAGGCTACTGCTACAAGGTCTGCCTTGGTCCTGAGTCTGCCCAGAGCGACTTCATGTTCCTCAAACCCTGCAGCCCCCCCCGGAATAACGAGAAGGACCCCGGGAAGCGGTCCCAGCCTGGCCAGCATCTTCAGGTCTCCAAGCAGGTAACACTGTCCCCAGTGGTGCTTACTGGTGCTCCACGGGTCCCCCCAGTCCCCTCCCTCAGCCTCTGCCGTGGGAGAAACCAGGCGTGGCTTTTCCCAGGGGATAACCGGTGCCTTTGATCAGTGCAGGAATTAGGAGGCGTCAGGCAGTGGGAAACTCCACCGAGCTTCCTGGTGGGTCTAATTACCAGGGAAGTGTCAGGCTCAGCTGAAGCGAGAGGAAATCCCTTCCTTCTGCCTTTTGCACCCACTAGAGGCAATGGAGATGCTCAGATGCCTCCATGCTCTGGAAGAATGGGATGTTGGGGGTGGCATCTCCTTCTTGTGGGTGAGCAATTCACACTGGGAAAGCCTGAGCTGTCTGGGGACCTGCAGTGTCCCCCCACTGCGTTGGGGCTGCTCCTGGCCCTGCTCCTGTCCCCTGGTCTGGCACCCAGACCTGAGCACTGTGCCACACCAGGCTGCACGGGCAGGGTGGGAATGGGGTCGTCAGGGCAGGATTTTGCTGTCAACATTTGTTAGGTATTGAAATGAGGAACATCTAATTTTCCCGACGAAAGACTCTTTCCGAAACGCGATTACAAGGATGGAGAGTGATGAGGCGTCTAATCCACTTACGTTTGACTTTTAATAAAACAGCCCTTCCAAGGAGAGCCCAGGACTCACTGCCAAGAGGCTCTCCCCACGTGTCTCCTCGCACCTCTGGACTTGCCTCTCTGATACATTAATGGGATCGTCCCCTAGTTGTTTGTAACCCCCCTGGGACACTGGGTGTGCAGCCGGTTCCTGCACCTCTCACCCTTCAGTGCCTGGGGCTGGGACTGAGTTCCCATCACACCTGCAAAACCAGCTTTTTTAAGACAAAGGGATATAGGAAAAGCCCCTCTCCCTCTCAGGAAGAGGGAGAGATGAAGAGCAAGCCACTAGACAACCCCAATGCCTCAGGAACATGCAGAAGGTCTGGAAGAGAACAGGCTGCCTCAACACTGCCTCAGTTTCCCT